CTAACGAACCATAGGCCGCAGCCTCCTCGGACAAAGACCATTCGACTCAGCGCCCCGAACTCTACGGACTGTGAATTATTTTTCACTGGACTTCCCCTTTAAACGGACATGTTCAGTTCGAACGCCCTCCGAATATGTCCATTTTGTACACAACTAGATGGTGTGGCTACCTGGCTGCACACTGTGACGTCATCACCTGGATCTGGGTGATGCGCGCTCAAATTCGCACATGTTCGATTGGGCGTATCTGACGAACCATAGGCCGCAGCCTCCTCGGCAAAAGACCATTCGACTCAGCGCCCCGAACTCTACGGACTGTGAAATTTAAATTTTTCACTGGACTTCCCCTTTAACCGGACATGTTCAGTTCTAGGTTCTAATTATCAGAACAAATTATGTGGGAATCGTATTGATAGAAATCGGTCCTGGAAAAACTTCTAATTAAAGGGGAAGTTAATGCAAAAATTAAAATTTCACCAGTTGTAGTCTTCGGGGTGCTGAGTCGAATGGTCGTGGTCCGAGGAAGCTGAGACGCTCCCTTCCTACTTGAATGCCAATCAAACTCGCGCACTTCCACCGAAACTGGGTGACTGCGCCCTACTAGATGGGGATTTGTATGCAAAATGTCACTAAAAGCGCCATTTCGTTTGTATAAAGGCATGAATGACCGCGATTGGCCCATATGTTGTAGTCTTTTGGACGCTGAGTCGATTGGTTTTGGTCCGAAAAGGCTGCGATGCAGCGTTCCTCCTTTATTCCCAATCGAACATGGTTGAACAAGCGGTCACGTGCTCCTGCGTACGCCAGTCACCTGGTCACCGTGCCTGCAGGGTACAACTTACTAGCCTGTTTGACCTTTTTTGGGTGCAGTCCTCTCACTCGAGTTGAACCTTGGTGTGAAAGTTGTCGCCTGCTGGCGTGGTGACCAGGTGATTTGGGCACCCAGGAGCACGTGACCGCTTGTTCAACCATGTTCGATTGGGAATAAAAGAGGAACGCTGCATCGCAGCCTTTTCGGACCAAAACCAGTCGACTCAGCGTCCAAAAGACTACAACATATGGGGCAATCGCGGTCATCCGTGCTTTTATAAGAACGAAATGGCGCTTTTAGTGACATTTTGCATACAAATCCCCATCTAGTAGGGCGCAGTCACCCAGTTTCGGTGGAAGTGCGCGAGTTCGATTGGGATTCAAGTAGGAAGGGAGCGTCTCAGTTTTCTCGGACCAAGACCATTCGACTCAGCACCCCGAAGACTACAACTGGTGAAATTTTAATTTTTGCCTTAACTTCCCCTTTAAGCGGTATGTTCGAATTAAGCCATATTCCACCTGTACTTGTTCCGACTTCTTGAAATGTGCGCTTCACTTCAAACTAAGCATATGTACAAATGAGCACTAGAACTAAAAAAATCAACTAAAAGACGGTAGATAGATAACTACTGTATCGTTTTTTGGGCTGACCTTCTAGTTTTCATCGCTCCTGGTGTTTCAGGGCGCATGTGCTATGTGTGTCCCTGGAAAATGTCGACATTTTTTTCTCTCCTCCAAGCTACGCTGCACTTCCTGCGCATCTGCAAGTGCGTATCCATGCAAAACGTCGACATTTGCATCTGCAAGTGCGTATCCGTGCAAAACGTCGACATTTTTCGTCTTCACGCTACGCTGCGCTTCCTTGATTTTTTGCACTCCATAGGCACGATTTAGACGATCGCCTTCGCCTCTTTCTCGTGCAGTACAACTGCCTGAATGGTGGCTGTAGGTGCTTTTGCGTGACGCTCCCATGATGCCTTCAAATGAGGCGAACAAGTACACCGCCACGCATAAAAAAAATCACTTCTCTTCACCGTGTGCCGCGTACTGTGTCATAAAGTCTGACCATGTGCGCTCTTCCCTGTTACGAATCAACTGGCCCTGGATTCGGGCGATCTTGTGACGGAGCTTTAGCATAAGCTTGACGTAGCGATGGCGCCTCACGATCGCGGCTCCGAGAACTCCGCACCATTCACTCACCGTATCCGCAGAATAATTCACCCTTTCTTTGTTTCAGTTTTCCAGCCAGTGTGTCGCATAAGAGGCGACCCCAGGGGCGGTTGTTTATTTTGATCCGCTTTTCGGCGATCTCTTCTATGATCTTGATCCGTCGGCCGCCACATCGTAACCGACTGCGAGAGAGATCAGCAACCTGGACGAAGCGATGCTGGTGCTGCTGCACCAGTTTCTGGATGACGCGTTTGCTGAAATTCTGCCCAGGAAACAGCGACTGCAGCGATTTCAATCCGCCCGGAGGCAATCGAGAACGATGATGCAGGAGTTTCTGGTGCTACGTGACAATTCTCCATAGCATTTGGGTTTTGATTTCAGCACCAGGCCTTCTCTGTGTTGCGCGTGGTGCAACAGGAGTCATCTGATGACGAAATTTGGACGCGAAATGCTCGAGTTGACTATGATTTTCGAGGCGCTGCTTCCTTTCGAGTTGGACCCATTTCTTCTTCAAGATCACAAATCGACAACTGAAGGACAGTGTAAATTAGCTAGAAAGTTTTTTCCGTCCTGAGATTATTTGAATTTGTTTTGTAGACGTTTGTTGTGAACCCCCTGGTTCTCTAAAGTGTCAGGAACGAACGACCACACGGCACGAGGACAACTATTTATTCTCAACAGTATATTTCACTTCCATCGACTGACAATATGAACAGTGAATGAATGAATAACTAACACTAAAACCACCAGGTAGTTATAGCGTGAAAATGACAGCGTATATGAGAAAAGCATACACATACAATATACAACTACAGCGCACACAGCAAACCGCACATAGCGCATGTAGCATATACCACGTCGTAAACATCAGCGGTACGGCGGAGTCGGGATACAACTGCATTGGAGCGAACACAATGTCACAAGCGAGAAGGCCTTTCACTCTCGAGAACTTGTGCTTTCGCAACATTCTCCCCACCAAAGGGCTTCTCACCGCCGTACAACAACTCATAAGTCAAAAACGACCGGGGCTCTGACTACACGACCAGAACGAGTCATCCGCTACTGTGGCGGTGGCCAAGGTGGAATATTACGAGTGCTCACCATTTCTGCCAACTGAGCAATGGTCTGCGGGCTTGCGCACTTCAGATGAAGCTCTAACGTTGGCTTCACGAGAGCACATACCGGAATGACTGCGGAGCTACCCAGGATCGTGATGGCGAACTTGTCCATCCGCTGTTGGGTTGATTCCGCACCGAACGGCTTCACCTCAACATTCTCAATACCAAGCTTGCCGATCTGGGCTGTCACACACAACACAGTCACTGGGCCACTGCCTCGTGGGGCGGACGCGGGACCAGATAACCTACATTCGGTCTCCGTGTTCCACACAGTCTCGCCGCTTACTTCTTCCGTACTAACCAGTATCGCCCTTCTCATTTCCTCAGCTTCTACGCCTTGCGCTTCTAAGTCTTGCGCTTCTACGTCTTGCGCTTCTACGTCTTGCGCTTCTACGTCTTGCGCTTCTACGTCTTGCGCCTCTACGTCTTGCGCCTCTACGTCTTGCGCCTCTACGTCTTGCGCTTCTACGTGCTTCTGAGCGTCTCCGACCGATGTCGCCATGCATTGCATCGACGCAGTAGGCCTTGGATCTGATCCTCCCACTGGCTTCGAATACTCCTCTGACCGCTGCTTGTCTGTAAGCAAAGTCTTCCACGCCTTGTTCGGCGTCCTTTCGCGTGAGGCAAGCAAATCTCGCTTTGCTCCCTCATATTCACTGCTGGCGATGCGCTCGTTCATCTTCTTGAGCTTTTCGTCAAACTCTGTGCGGAGCGCACCCTCCGGCCGTCTAGCACTGCGCTCTTCAAACTCCTCGCTCTGTCGGAGCCTCTTCTCCACGTATTCTCTCAACCTATCGCCTTCAAATCCATACCGAATTCCGCTAGCGATAAAGCTGGCTTCAATGATCCATAGTTCCTGTGCCATGCTCGCTTCGTATCCTGGCGTGGTCGCCAAATGTTGTGAGCCTTCTGGTTCTCTAAAGTGTCAGGAACGAACGACCACACGGCACGAGGAGAACTATTTATTCTCAACAGTATATTTCACTTCCATCGACTAACAATATGAACAATGAATGAATGAATAACTAACACTAAAACCACCAGGTAGTTATAGCGTGAAAATGACAGCGTATATGAGAAAAGCATACACATACAACATACAACTCCAGCGCACACAGCAAACCGCACATAGCGCATGTAGCGTATACCACGTCGTAAACATCAGCGGTATGGCGGAGTCGGGATACAACTCCATTGGAACGAACACAATGTCACAAGCGAGAAGGCCTTTCACTCTCGAGAACTTGCGCTTTTGCAACAACGTTCGAAGCGAAGCGCACATTCTAGTAAGTGCGACCAAGTACATGTATACTATAATATGCATGAAGACTATACATGCATGAAGACTATATATGCATGAAGACTATACATGCATGAAGACTATACATGCATGAAGACTATACATGCATGAAGACTATACATGCATGAAGACTATACATGCATGAAGACTATACATGCATGAAGACTATACATGCATGAAGACTATACATGCATGAAGCTTCATGCATGTATAGTCTTCATGCATATTATAGTACACATATAGCTGTAGGGCTGGTCAATTCGCATCCAACATTTGGAGACAAAGTGGCAGGGGCGATTTTGAGTCCTTTATGTGTTTTAAAGTGCGGCTAACACCCGGAAATACAGTGAGTGGTCATACAGTGAGTGGTCATACAGTGAGTGGTCATACAGTGAGTGGTCATACAGCGAGTGGTCATACAGTGAGTGGTCATACAGTGAGTGGTCATACAGTGAGTGGTCATACAGTGAGTGGTCATACAGTGAGTGGTCATACAGTGAGTGGTCATACAGTGAGTGGTCATAGGTTTCCCTCCCATACGGTCGAGAATCGAGATCTACATCCTGTGTACAACAGAATGAAGACTGGTTAGTAATCGTTACCTGTTGCTCGAGTTCAACTCTGATGATCTCATTCAGTGGTAGAATCTTGTAGAATGCCCTGAGAAAGTAATCAAGTCAACAGATTCACACTGCTTTACAAGATCAGGCAATCATTGAAAAAATATACACCTTCCTACCTTCCCAAATTATCATGTAACCAAACAAATGTTTGATACACAGATTTTTTTAATGAATTGAAGAAGGAAAGAAGTCTGAGGATAGAGTTGCATCCATCTCGCGACTCAAACCAGAGCCAGAGGGAGATTCTCTGCAGCCCCCGGTGCTCTACTGCTGTAACCATTTCAAATTAATAAGCAGTCGTGCAGGTCAATACCATACCCATTGTTATCGATGTGTGGTGTATATAAGTTTGTGGTGTATATTAGTGTAGGGTATATACCAGTGTATGGTGTATATCAGTGTATGGTGTATATCAGTGTATGGTGTATATCAGTGTATGGTGTATATCAGTGTGTGGTGTATATCAGTGTGTGGTGTATATCAGTGTATGGTGTATATCAGTTTATCGCCTTCTTAGTATTTGACCCCACTAATTTCCCTGATGCCTAAGCGGTCAAATATATCGCGTATTTGACTGCTTAGTCAAATACGCGAAATATTTGACTACTTATATTTGACTCCTTAGAACTTCTTGGACTTAGAAATTTTCTCTCCAACTTAGAAAAAGAAATATTTGAAGAAAGCAGAAATACACAAGATGGGATTAGAACCCACAACCTTGTGAATCTCAGTCACTCTTCCTTACCACCCAGCCACTGTGCTACCGATGCTGAACCTAGTTTAAACAATGATCTTGACTTTCAATGCAGTACAATGCGGTATAGGCTATAGTATAATACTAGAATTACAAGGATATGTCGTATATGAAGAGAAACTATTGCGTGGAGAACACGATAAATAGATTATAGACCTCATAGTTGGTCTATACAGGATATATAGACCTCGTAAAAGACCTCGGGGGACCTCGGTCTTTTACTCGGTCTATATATCCTGTATAGACCTCCTAACCGGTCTATAATCTATACGTATGGTGTATATCAGTGTATGGTGTATATCAGTGTATGGTGTATATCAGTGTGTGGTGTATATCAGTGTGTAGTGTATATCAGTGTATGATGTATATCAGTGTATGGTGTATATCAGTGTATGGTGTATATCAGTGTATGGTGTATATCAGTGTGTGGTGTATATCAGTGTGTGGTGTATATCAGTGTGTGGTGTATATCAGTGTGTGGTGTATACCAGTGCATGGTGTATATGAGTGTATGGTGTATATCAGTGTATGGTGTATATCAGTGTATGGTGTATATCAGTGTGTGGTGTATATCAGTGTGTAGTGTATATCAGTGTATGGTGTATATCAGCGTGTGGTGTGTATCAGCAAGAGTAGATAAACAAGAGTGTGCAACTCCGGATCTCTCCTGCACAATCTGCAGATACCCCGCGCCCACGGCGGAATTTTTTGTTTACGTCACCTTTTTTCAGAGAAACGCGGATTTTGCCGCAGAGCAGTGTGAGAGCACGTGCTGGGCACCGACCTTGTAGTGTAAAGCCCAGCCAAGTGCACGAGGGAAAACTCTCCAAAAGGCTCGCAGCGCGTGCGTCGTCGAAAAGATTACGTCAACAAAAAATTCCGCCGTGAGCCAACCCATCCGCGAGTTGCACACTCTTGTTTATCTACTCTTGGTATCAGTGTGTAGTGTATATCAGCGTGTGGTGTGTATCAGTGTGTAGTGTACTTGTACATCGGATGTGTAGTGTACAGTACACTCCACACTCATGCAGTGCATCAGCGTGTAGTGGAAATCAGTGTATAGTGGAAATCAGTGTGTAGTGGAGATCAGTGTGCAATGGAAATCAGTGTGCAATGGAAATCAGTGTGCAATGGAAATCAGTGTGCAATGGAAATCAGGGCGCAATGGAAATCAGGGTGCAATGGAAATCAGTGTGCAATGGAGGGCAGTGTGCAATGGAAATCAGTGTGCAATGGAGGACAGTGTGCAATGGAAATCAGTGTGCAATGGAGGACAGTGTGCAATGGAGGACATACAGTCCACTCCTGATATAACGAGCACCATTGTGCAGGAGAATTAGTTCTTTATAGCCAAAGTTCGTTATAGCCAAAGTTCTTTATAGCCAAAGTTCGTTATATCATACATGCACTCACACTATACAAGCAGCAAATCCTGATGGACTGATACAGTATATGGTCCATGACAGCACCTGTGTACTTGGTGTAGATGCAGCACGACTGATACAGTATATGGTCCATGACAGCACGTGTGTACTTGGTGTACATGCAGCCCTACACGATTTGGTTTGTTATAAACGAAAACTGTTTGCTATAAAGCATCAATTTTGTACAAGTATGGGTTCAGACAGGGACATGGACAATGATCCGCTATATCACGAAATTCGCTATGCGAGTTGGTTACAAATGGAGTCGACTGTAGATACAATGTAATGAGAAAATAATGGAAAAGGAAACTTTGTTTGTCTCATGAAGAAGGTGTCTCAGTCCCAAAAATCATTGTATGAAGGACCAACTCTGTTCTTGCTTGGCACAGCTTCAGAGGATGTGGGGTACGCCTGAGTACATTCAGGAATGGGCTCACCACGACCGTACAAAACGGCAATAAGGGTCATTTGGATTTGACCAATAAGCGCACGGAAAAACAGGCTGTTTCTTGCAATTGTGGGGTGTTTTCTGAGCTTAATTTGGCTGTATTAGTTGGTTTTAGACATTTGGCCATTGTGGATTCGTGTTCAGAAGGTATGTCTTTGGAGGGTTACCGTCTCGAATTTTTCCATTTGGCCTTCATTTTGCTGAGTTCGGATGGTGAAATCACTCAAACTTGAAGACGTGCGAACAAGTGAATGAAGACGAAATATTGAAATCGGGGACGGTAAACCGATAGAGAATTCCAAGACCTTGAAAATGAGCTATGAGAATCGGCCAAGTAGAACCGCTGAAGTACTTTTTTGAAGACATCAAGGTCGGCTGTGCGTTCCCTTGCGCACCAACAAAACCTTGCAGCCGTGCGAATATCTGCAAGTGCAACAAGAAAGGGCCGAGGAGTCAGCAAGCATTCCAAGTGAAGAGGTTACCATCGCGTTGACTCAAGCTAAGGACTCTACTAGTCAGGGATCATACCAGTCACTTGTCATCATGGTCATGACTAAGGAATTCTTTTGCGGCCAGGAAACTCCACACTCGCAGGGTGAAAGCTGCGAGGTCAAAGAGAAAAGAGTGTGCAGAGTCGGGATCAGGAAACGCTGAGTTCTACTGACAACATTGGTTAGCTAGGCGTGGCAAAGTCTTGTAGATGCCAGGACTCCAGTTCACCAGCACCTCATGGACCTATCTTGGTCGACATCCAGCAGCAGATTGAGAAAATGACCAAGATGGCTTGGAGAAAGGACGTCTTCTCTGCGTGTCTTTCCCGGCATCAAACAACAAGATTCTCTTCGGTACTGGCCCTTCGCTGTACAGACTTGACCAGGGAGTCGTAAAATACCCGTATTTTACGACTCGACTGTACATCGCGGTACATCGATCAGCATGAACTCGGGTGCGTAGCCGCTATGACTGCACAAACTCTGGCCTTGGCGGCATCGCCATGTTTTCAAAATGATGGTCGACGCTTTTTGAATTTTGTATGATCGTGGTGAGCCCTGACATTGTGCATAGTTGGAAGTCTCTTACACCTAGGGTTCTATCCTTGTTTCGAGATAAAAATATAAACTGTTTCAGGTGCTCCAGACTTGGGACAGGATAATACAACATCATATCAAGTGAGCCAGGACAGGAAAAGTCACAAAGAACACTGTGTGCGACTCACGACTAAGCTAAGTGTTAGTTGGCAGAAGTTTGAGCTCTATATTCGGAGCAACTTCTTCCACTTTGCATTACTACCGAGGTCGCAATATCACTTTATTTTAGATAATTTCCGATTGATAAAATACTATTGGTTTGGGGAAATCCTTCCTTTCCTTGTGCGTGTCATCACATTTAATTTAATTAGAGAACCATCAGTAGCAGAAACGATCTTTAGCAACCGCTGCAAGAGGAGACCACCTGTCTTTAGAGACCACCTGTCTTTAGAGACCACCCGTCTTTAGTGCCCACCTGTGGTTAGTAAGCACCTGTCTCAGACCATGCTTCAGCATGCACACTGGCACCCTGGTGGTTAATGCGAAATCGGGAATCATCGGGCTTAAAGTTCAATCTCTGCTAAAACCATTCGTTTTCAACATACATCATAGCTTGTGTAATAAGGACATCTGCCAATCGGACTAACTTTCCATGCCAAGGAGGGGCTACATGCAGATTTCATTGCATTCATTATTCCATTTTTCCATGGTGACGATTGACTTACTCTCCATGGCCTTCAATGTCCACATTGACTTTCTGTATCTTAACCTTTGTTTGCGGATGATTTATTCTTGTAACGATATGGCCATCGTTGTCCATCTGATCACCTCCAGCCTTCACATCTAAGTGTCCCAACATGGCATATAGTACAGAAAGAAGGAGAGAGAGAGAGAGAGAGAGAGAGAGAGAGAGAGAGAGAGAGGGGGGGAGGAGAGAGAGAGGGAGGAGAGAGAGAGAGAGAAAGAAAGAAAGAGATAGATAGATAGAGAGAGAGAAAGAGAGAAAGAAAGAGATATAAAGAGGGAGGGACAGAAACAGAGACACAGAGAGAAAGAGAGACATCTAAGTGTCCCAACATGGCATATAGCACCGAAAGAAGGAGAGAGAGAGATAGATAGATAGATAGATAGATAGAGGTAGAGAGAGGGAGAAGGAGAGGGAGAGAGAGGGTGGAGATAGAGAGAGTGAGAGAGAGAGAGCCACATAGCGACAGAGGGATAGACAGGGCGACAGAGACAGAGCCGACGGCAGAGAGATTATACTGAACACATCTGATAGAGATGTGCTCATCACAAGCAATTAGTTACAGTGTTCGAATCCAAAGATTGACCAGTCCAGAATTGGTTATAGATGTTATCATAACTTGGCTAGAAGCGCATTGAAATATCCAGAATTCCAGACTTTGCTATTGATGAAATGAAAACTTAGTGGCGAGAAACTATAGGCAAAGGGATTCGAGTACGAAAGGAACGATGTTCGTTTTTTGGATGACAAAAAAATTCCGACGACCCTTAACTATTGTTGCGTAGATGTCACTGCTGTTTGGAGGTTACCTGAACACATGCTGACTATGTCACATATACTGTACATGCACTGTACATGTCACATATACTGTACATGCTGACTATGTCACATATACTGTACATGCTGACTATGTCACATATACTGTACATGCTGACTATATCACATATACTGTACATGCTGACTATGTCACATATACTGTACATGCTGACTATGTCACATATACTGTACATGCTGACTATGTCACATATACTGTACATGCTGACTATGTCACATATACTGTACATGCTGACTATGTCACATATACTGTACATGCTGACTATGTCACATATACTGTACATGCTGACTATGTCACATATACTGTACATGCACTGTACATGCACTGTTCATGCACTGGTCATGCACTGTGTGCCACAAGTCGCAAGAGTATACTGTCTTAGTAACTAGTGTATGCTGTGTTATAGTAACTAGTGTATGTTGTGTTATACATGTAGTAATAGTGTATGTTGTGTTATACATGTAGTACTAGTGCATGTTGTGTTATACTACTACTTCCTCCGTTAACAAAAACTTCGTGATGGATTTTGATGGATATGAAAACGCTGAGAACAGGCCAAGAACAGTTTGTATCGACTGCAAATGACTGGACGAAGGTGATTCAGCCTATGTACAGCGTCTTTACAAGAGAAACTGTTGGCGGAATGAGCAGAGAGTTCAGTTTGCGTCGCTTTCGCTCGATTCATTTTTGACCTGCGTCGCTGTCGTCATCTGCTGCACGCGAGTCGTCATCTGCTGTACGCGAGTCGTCATCTCTCTCTCGAGTCGTTGTTCAGCTCGTTTCAGCCTTTCCTCGGCTTCTTTGATCACACTCCGCTGACCTTGATGTCGCTGTCGTTCAGGTAAGTTGGCTTTCAAGCTGCGTGATCCGCCGCGACGGCGATTACTCGTTTCCACCCGGGAGTCGTGAGCAATATTTTACGACTCCCTGGTTTCGTCTTCGCTCTCCAGAACTCCGCGAAACGAGGAGTAAAGGCACAGCCAAACTGATTCCATTTTCTCTAATGGATACCAGCACTGAACGGCAGCGGCTAGCAAGTCCAGTCGACTTTCTTTAGCCACGAGACTCGCATCGGACTGCAGACTTCTGAAAGAATGCATGGTGATCAGCATTCGAATCTGGACTTTGCGCAGGTTGAACAAGAACTTGAGTTCAGAGTTATTTTCATTCAGCCGTGCGATCGGAGCAGCTCCTTGTTCACTCGCTCATTGTGTGGGCTAGCTGCTCCGTTTTATCACTCTCCAACTTACTCAGCGCTACAGTGGTAGAGAGGCCAAGCAGCGCAATATCCCCTCGGAGAAGTGGTATTTCAGTTTCGCTGGCCATGACTGTCATCACCTATGTTTCCACAGCGCAACCATCGATTCCGCTCGGCTTGTTGTGAAAGGTTGCTTTCCTTGCATCGTACCTCTGTCATGGCATGCCACTGGGGTGAGTCGCAATCACTTTCTTGGCCTTCCCTGGCAATGCCAGGGAAGGCCAAGAAAGTGATTGCGACTCATTTCACGGCAGTTTGTGCCCTAATCAGCCCCTCAAAATTCCATCACGAAGTTTTTGTTAACGGAGGAAGTAGCTTATGTTTGTATGGTGAATGACTGAAATACGTAATAACCTGCAGGCATGAATCTATCTGCTATCGTATTACAGCTTGAGAAGCGAAATCGATGGAGATTGGCGGAGTATCACCCTCACCCACAGAAAACAGAGGTACTTAACTCGACTGCATACTGTGTAGATGGTACTAGTAATCCCAGCCTGCGATCACTTGCATGCTGCAATTGTGCGCTTGTGCATGTAGGGCGGCAACCAGTGCTTATACACAGGGATTGCTTTTGTCACTTTGGACGGACGGATGGGTGTAAGGGCAGGCGGGCGGACTGGCAGAGGCATGGATAGACTTAAGTGTATATACATGTAACTGTACATCTACTCTGATACCCGGTAATCTACTTACCAATCTTGAATTCGAGCTCGATATCAAAGTTATCGATAGACATGTGAATGACACCCGCATCAGCAACGCCCAAACTATACACAAAGTCATATAAGGTACAGAACAATCCAATGGACGTTCAAGAATTATCTGAAAAACGCAGCGAAGCTCTCTTACAATTGGTGTTGTGAACCCTCTGGTTCTCTAAAAAAGAAAAGCATACACATACAACATGCAACTACAGCGCACACAGCAAATCGCACATAGCGCACATAGCGCACATAGCGCATGTAGCGTATACCACGCCGTAAACATCAGCGGTACGACGGAGTCGAGACACAACTGCATTGAAACGTCCACAATGTCACAAACAAGAAGGCCTTTCACACTTGAGAACTTGTGGTTCCATATCATTCTCCCCACCAAAGGGCTTCTCACCGTCGTACCACAACTGCCAAGTCAAGCGATTCGAGGCTCACTACGCGTAATTTGGTGCTGCAGTGGTGGCCATGGTGGAAAATCAGTGATCACCACTTCAGCTAACTCTTGAAGCTTATCGAGGTGGGCTTTGACACACGACACGGTCACCGGTCCACTGCTTCGACCCGGGGCGGGCGCTGAACCAGATAACACACACCCGATCTCTGTGTTCCACACAGTCTCGCCGTTGACCTCTTCCTTGCCGTGCAGTATCGCTTTTCTCCTTTCCGTAGACAAAGACTCCAGCTGCTTCTCCGCTGTTCCAACCGATAGCACCATGCACTGCATCGACGCTGTAGGCCTTGGATCTGATCCTCCCATTGACTTCAAAGACTCCTCGTTTTCTTTAGAAGGAGATTGAGCGGAGATTGAGCGGAGATTGAGCGGAGATGCCCTGGCTACAAGTGGTAACTAGGTAAATCCTGAGTTGAAAAGTACAAGTAATGGCATGCAATACTCCCCACATGCGCTGGTACAACATTATTTGAGGGTAGCATGATGCGAAATGCACGGGTGGCGTCATCTCCATCAAGGCAGATCTAAAACGTACAGGTGTCATACGATTTTGTGCAATGGTTATTAGGGAGGTTTTGCTCTACGTAATTCCGTATCAAAATAACGTAGGAACTGCACGTAATTTTCATGCATAGCAATGTGCGCTATTGAATTTTGCTCTGCGGCATTTATCCATGACTGCTAAGCATGACTTGTTGCTTTGGAGACGCGTTGGCCACAAACCAAAACCACGTTCTCCATTCTCTTTTCCACGTGATGTTTACCTTATGCTTTGTGCGCGGCTTGAACGTTGCCATGGATAGATGCGGAAAATGCGAAAAATACTTCAAAAAGTCCATGAAGGGCTGAACATAGGCTACAGAAGCTCTGGGGATAGTGCAGAACATCCAGCCGTGCATGTCCTTGGCTTGGGAGCGTACAGTTAGAACCAGATTTTGTCTCGCCTGTCGGATGACTTGGCTGAGAGGGCGCTGCATCGTTTCAACTCCATGCTCACAGTGTATGGCCCAGAATATGCGAAAACCAGGCTTAGGGTGAAAATTTCACAAAATGACTTTTCTCATTTTCAGCTTCTACTGGGCATGGGAGGTCAGGAAACAAAATATTACACGTGTGGGTCGACTCATAGTGGTATTAAAAGTATCTCAAACACACCAAGGTATTGTGTTAAAAAATCCAAAAGAACATACAATTGTTATCATAGGAAAGAAATGAAGAGAGATCCACCAGACTGAAGGAAGAGACATGAATGATTTTTGTTTGGGTGACATGACAAGGTAGGCATGTGGGGCAGGCTTGTTGTGGTCCCTTGGTGCTGCCAGCTGTAGTGGCCTGCACAGTTCTGCATGAATTTAGTTTGCTCCTCGCTCAGCACATTCTGGGCTGAATACATGTACTGGCATGCTCTGGCGCTACACACCACAAGGAAACCCGACTCCAGTTTAGATGGCACCTTTTGAAGGGTGAATCTAGTACAACTGTTCAGAAACAAGCAAGAACACAGCCTTTCAAACTGTTCCACTGTTCATAGTATGCGCATAGTGTGCTGACGTGCTGCATTGCTCAGGTTTAATAAGGTGATCATGTGTGTACAAAACTTGTATTGGTGATAACTTTGTCTTCCATCAATATTTTTTCAACCAAGTTTTCTGTGTCGATACATTGGGTTAGTTGTCATCGATTTCCGATATCAAATTTCGAATTTGAGCTGAATGACGTCATCAGTGCTACTTTTTATATTCAAATTTCAACCCAAAACGCGGAGAAAACGAAAATAATAAGGCCACAAATCCTGGTGAATTGGATAGCCTTTGGGCCCTAGATAAAGGATATTGGTGGATATTGTACATAGATAACAACATTTCGCTGGAAACCAGTGTCGATTTGTTTCACCATACGCACTGTACACATTTAGTATACAAAGCCGTCGTACCTCGAGGTCTGCTCAGACTCACCACCACCAAGAACGGGTGTTTAGCATCGATATCCAGCACATTCCCGCTTGCTGGAATGTACAGGTAGCCAATGCAACAGCTCTCATTCGCCAAAGACATTCCCCACGCTCCGCATTTATGGAGGATGCTGTCATCATGGTCATTGCTGTTTCAAAATAGCCGACAATGTCTCCTACACACAAATTACTGTGAAACTACTTGTAGTGCATGCTACTGTGCTGTACATGTAGTGCATGCTACTGTGCTGTACATATAGTGCATGCTACTGTGCTGTACATGTAGTGCATGCTACTGTGCTGTACATATAGTGCATGCTACTGTGCTGTACATGTAGTGCATGCTACTGTGCTGTACATGTAGTGCATGCTACTGTGCTGTACATGTAGTGCATGCTACTGTGCTGTACATGTAGTGCATGCTACTGTGCTGTGTACATGTAGTGCATGCTACTGTGCTGTACATGTAGTGCATGCTACTGTGCTGTACATATAGTGCATGCTACTGTGCTGTACATGTAGTGCATGCTACTGTGCTGTACATGTAGTGCATGCTATTGTGCTGTACATGTAGTGCATGCTACTGTGCTGTACATGTAGTGCATGCTACTGTGCTGTACATGTAGTGCATGCTACTGTGCTGTACATGTAGTGCATGCTACTGTGCTGTACATGTAGTGCATGCTACTGTGCTGTACATGTAGTGCATGCTACTGTGCTGTGTACATGTAGTGCATGCTACTGTGCTGTACATGTAGTGCATGCTACTGTGCTGTACATATAGTGCATGCTACTGTGCTGTACATGTAGTGCATGCTACTGTGCTGTACATGTAGTGCATGCTACTGTGCTGTACATGTAGTGCATGCTACTGTGCTGTACATGTAGTGCATGCTACTGTGCTGTACATGTAGTGCATGCTACTGTGCTGTACATGTAGTGCATGCTACTGTGCTGTACATGTAGTGCATCACACTAGCTGTAGATCTACCGTGCATGCCCTTGTGTAGGGGGGCACTTCACTCCTACGAGATTGAGCTGGTCACAACTGAGTCTGTACGCGACTGTACTCGAGTCGTTGTGACTTGCAAGTGCACTCTGTACTGATGTACTGCACAGAGACAAGGCAAGTGCAGTTTTCAGTGCATGGACTCGGCTACAGTACTAGAACATTTTGTGGAAGCAAACAAGCTTTCTTTACGATCCTGGTCATTTTTCTCAATCGACTCTGCGCTTCGAGCTAGATGTGTCCGTGGGGTATTCCCAACTAGAACAGGAGTCCTCACATACCCGAGATCGCGCCGAGCTAATCACTTTTGTCAGCATAACTACTGCTCGCGACTCAACACATTTATTTTGTCCGTTGTCATCCCCGCTGCGAGTGGGGAGCTTCATGCCCACAATAAATGAGAACGTCATGATATTTGAATCCTTCGTCAGAGAAAGCTATTGGAGCTCGAAACGACACAAGACAATGGCCATGATCGATACGCGTACAGATTGCCATGTGACTGGCCTCCAGACCAAGTGCTGCCAAAAGACTGGAAATATTTTTCGAAACAAGATTTTGAAAAAAAGTCCAGCGCTCGAGTGCGGGGAACAAGGCCAAACGCCATGTGTTTCCCTGGTAACATGACGTAAGCTGCATTATCACCATGGCGAGTTGCAGCGCTGATCTTTATCACCATCGCGAGTTGCAGCGCTGATCTTGAAGTACAGCGGCACCAGAAAAGTGTCCTTATTCTACCTGAGTGTTTGCTTTGTGCTGGCCAGCAAGTGAAATCTCGGCACGCCGTCCAATCCGGCGCACCTAGCTGCCCAGCGAGGAAAGTCTCGAGTGGGGGCCTCTCGATCTGCTTGCTTATTCGCCTGGCATTCAGTAGCACTTCATCGCCAAGAACTTCAATTCACAAATAGTTTTCACAGTGCGCTTCAAGCCTTTGTCCTCGTGAACTTGCTGCAAACGTATGAGCTCTGCTGCGCATGTTCCCTTTGCGTGAGGCCCAGAACCAGCTAGTATCTCCGCACTTCCCGTATGCCCACATCCCAACGCCACATGCTGTGACAGAAGTGTGCCGCAAACAGCTGGTGTGGATGCACTTGCTGAATGGGGTGCTCAGTGGCGCGTCACTTTTGAGCCAACAAAATCACAGGCCATGACTGTGTCCCGCCACCGCAGACCCTGGGAGATACCACCCATCCAGTTCAACGGCACAGCGGTGCCGGAATGCTCGCGGCTGAAGCTACTTGAAGTGACGTTTGATGCCCATTTATCACATTCAGACCATCTTCGAGGAACTGCAGTGATTCCCACACAGCGAATTGGTTTCTTCCAGAAAGCGTGCCATGTCCTGGACCCACCCGGCCGGGCCACAGCATACCGGGGGTTCATTCGGCCTCTAATGGAGTATTGCCCACTTGTGTGGATGGGAGCTGTGGCTACCCATCTCTCACAGCTGGACCGAGTCCAGCATCGTGCCCTAACCCTGATTGGGACTGGGGCTGCAATGGACACTCTGTCCCTGCGGCGCCGTGTGGCCGGCCTCACAACCCTGTACAAGTTCCATTACATCACAAGCCCACCAGCTCTTGCAGCGACACGCCCAGCCAGAGCCATTGCACCCGCCATCGCGCCTGCCACACGTCGCC